AGCAGCAGTAGAGGCAATAGAAGGCAAAAGGGGAACAGGGGAGCACCCCTCAAAGAAAGTGTCAAACTCAAATTATATAGCTTGTGTAGGCTATAGTGGGGTAGACACTATGGGGTACAGTTTCCTAGGGTTTCCTACTTGTACCCAACCTTGTGCTAGGTCATTCATTCCTCATTCTTCACATGGTATAGAGCAGGTTCCCTAGTGGGAACGCTTCCTTGGGCCCACCACTGAAAATTTCCTTTCTGACAGGAGCGCCAGTTGCTCCTGCCCGAGGCGCGCCTTTTGCCGCCCTTTCCAGGCCCCTAGTGGCCCCTAGTGGCCTCGTCGCCGCCCCTCACGCGGCCCCGTTACCGCCCTACGCGGCCCCGTCGCCGCCATTAGCGGCCCCGTCGCCGCCCCTAGCGGTCCCGTCGCCGCCTCTCACCCTAAGCGGCCCCGTCGCCGCCCCTACGGGCCCCTTCGCCGCCCCTCCGCGGGCCCGTCGCCGCCCTTAGCGGCCCCGTCGCCGCCCTAGCGCCCCGTCGCCGCCTCTCACCCTACGCGGCCCCGTCGCCGCCCATAACGCGGGACCCGTCGCCGCCCCTAGCAGCCCCGTCGCCGCCCCTACCGCCCCGTCGCCGCCTCTCACCCTCAGCGGCCCCGTCGCCCGCCCTAAGAGGCCCCGTCGCCCACCCTAAGCGGCCCCATTGCCGCCCCCCCCCCCCCCCCCCCCCCCCCCCCCTACGCGGCCCTGTCACCTCCTCTAAGCGGCCCCGCTAACGCTCCTAAGCGGCCCCGTCGCCGCCCCTAAGCGGCCCCGACGCCGCCTCCTACGCGGCCCCGTCGCCGCCACTACACGGCCTCGTCGCCGCTCCCCCTCCCTAAGCGGCCCCGTCGCTGCCCCTAGCGGCCCGACGCCGCCTCTACCGAGAAGCCCAGCAGTAGAGCCGCCGTGCCGCCCAGCAGCAGAGCCGCCGAGCCGCCCAGCAGCAGAGCCGCCGAGCCGCCCAGCAGCCGAGCCGCCTAGCCGCGGAGCCGCCCGATAGCCGAGCCGCCCAGCAGCCGAACCGCCGAGCCGCCAACAGCCGAGCAGCTGAGCCGCCGAGCCGCCCTGCCGTCGAGGTGCTACCAATCCTACCGGCGCGCCCCGGCCCTACTTTCTCGTACTGGTGAGCTCACTCCTTGCTAGACCTCTGCAGTCATGGCTACCCCCAGTGTTCTTACCTTTGACACTGAGGGTCGTGCTGTTGACTTTGAGGTCTGGGTCGATGACCTCAAGCTGTTCCTCCAGTCCGATAGGGCAGACGGCCTCTCTCTGTTCGACCTCACCTCTGGTGCCTCCCATGCCCCACCTGCTACTGCTGACAGCACTGTTCGCTCACAGTGGGCGACGCGCGATGCTCCTGCCCGTCTTGCTATGCGTCGCCACTTACCGACCACTGAGCGTGCACACTTTAGCAAGTACAAGAGTGCTCAGACCTTGTACGACGCTATAGTTGCACGCTACTCTTCCCCTGCCACTGCTGCACTGAGCCGCCTCATGCTACCGTACCACTTCCTTGACCTTGCTGCCTTTGAGAAAACTGAAACGAGAATGATTGACTAAGGAACGAAAGTGATACAAATATGCAACCCTAGAAATGTGTACCCCTTATAGGCTACCCCACTATAGACTACACAACATTATAATTTGACACACCCCCATAGGCAAAGTGGGGGGGAACAAGGGGTGACAAGACCAGTCAAGCAAAACAAAGCAAATCTCAGGGTGGATCACAAAGTCACCACACATTTCGAGCACAAGTTCAAGGCCAGAAGGCTAGTTCACATGCAGGAACACATATATATATAACAGGCTAAACAAGCAAGAGCAGGAGTATATATATATGTCACAGTACAAGCAAGGTCAAGAAGTGAGTAAGTGAGGCAAGACAGGTACAAGACCAAGCTGAGTACAGAAGCGCTGATGATCACAAGGCGCAAGTGCCTTGGTGAAGATATGAGCAGTGTTGGCCTCAGATTCCACGTACGCAAGTCGCAACTGACCACGCTGCTGCAGCTTACGAGCAAGAAAGTAGCGAAGAGCAATGTGCTTCGTTCTGTGCTCCAGGCGCTACTCCCGACACAAGGCCAGCATGGCCTTGTTGTCTACGTACAGCACTGGAGGAGAACGAGGTGGCTCTCCGAGGTCAGTCAGCAGGTAGGTGAGCCAGCGAAGCTCCTGAGCAGCCATGGCTCCGGCGTAGATCTCAGCCTCACAATTGGAGCCGAGAACAGAAGACGAGCGAGTAGCCCGCCACGAAACAGAGCCTGAACCAAGGCTGAAGGTGTAACCCTGTGACGACCGCTGTGTAGCCTGGTTGTCAGCCCAAGAAGCGTCTGCGTGCCCAGTGAGGACCACTGGACTCTGCCCTCCAAGCACTAGCCCCATGCCCGACATACTGCACAAGTAGCGCAACACCCTCTTCGCTGCAGCCATGTGCTCTGGTCTGTGTCTCCCAGGAGCAACATAGCGTGCAAGAATGCTAAGAGGGTATGCAAGGTCAGGTCGTGTGCAGGTCATCAGGTACATGAGGCAGCCAACAAGCTCTGGGTACGGGCCACTCGACTCTACGGACTCATCCGAAGGCAGAGCTGAGAGCGAGTGGCGAGTAGGCAGAGGAGTGGCCTGAGGCGAGGAGTACGTGAAGCCGAAGCGCTGAAGGACCTGCTGCACCATGTGTGACTGAGTCAGGGTAATGGTGCGGCGTGCTCTGTCCCGGGTGATCTGCAAGCCAAGGTAGCTGCGCAGTTCACCCAGGTCTGTGCACGTGTGTCTCTTCTGCAGCTCGGACTTCACGTGGGCGAGTCCAGCAATGTCAGCTGTGGCAAAGACCAAGTCGTCGACGTACACGAGGATGTAGAACGGCGGCAGAGAGGTGTCAGTGCGCAGAAACAGAGACGGGTCAGCAGTAGAGGGAGCAAACCCAAGAGCCGCAAGCGTAGTCCTCAGTGTGTCGTGCCACTCGCGCGGTGCCTGGCGGAGACAGTAGACTGGCGTCGGAGGCTCCACTGGGTGCCAAGAGGGAAAGTCCCAGTGAAGCCAGGTGGACGGCGCAGCCAGATCTCCTCGTGCAGGCTACCCTGCAAGAAAGCAGTGCTGAAGTCAAGGGAGTGAAGCTCGTAGTCACGCTGAGCGGCTATGTGTAGCAGCACCCGAAGAGTGGTCATCTTCGGGGTGGGAGAGAAGGTCTGAAAGTAGTCAACTCCCTGCCGCTGACTGAAGCCACGAGCCACGTACCGCGCCTTGAAGACAGGTGGAGAACCTGGAGGCCTCTTCACCCTGAAGATCCACATGCCACTGACGATGTTCGCCCCAGGAGGGGGAACTGCGTCAACGTAGGTGCCTGTGGACTTCCAGGAAGCCATCTCTGCGTCCATAGCTGCCTGCCACTGAGAGGAGTAGGGACCCTCTACGGCCTCCGCGTAAGAGCGCGGAGTCGGGATGTCAAGTGCATCCGGGTCTCCCTCAGGGGTAAGCAGTACGGACACGAGATAAGGTGAAGCAGCAGCCAGACACTGGAACTCCTCCTGCCTGTCCTCAAGGACGTCCGTGCCAAGAGCACACTCACCCCCGACGGACGGAGGACAGACAGACGCAGACTCAGCAACAAGACTAGCAGCGTAGTCTAGACGACAGCGAGCAGCAAAGTCGACGAACTTAGCAACAAGGGCAGACGCAGCAGTGGACTCAAAGGAGGGGTCAGTGACGACAGTAGCAATGAGACGCGTGACAGTAGGACTGGCAGCACGAAGAGAGTCCGACTCCGGGTCGGCAAGTGCAGGAAGAGAGGACTCAGGAGGAGAAGGCAAAGGGGCACGCAGAGGAGCAGTGGACGGACGCAGAGACATCCGGTGCATGCCGGGGACAGGAGGAGGACGCTGACGCGAACCGCGACCACTAGTGCGAGCAGCACAAACAGGCGACGCAGGACGAGACGCAGGCTCACGACGCTCAGCAAGACCTCCAGTAGGACCAGTGTAGGGAGAAGGAGCAGGCAGTGGGGAGGCCGGCGGAAGCTATGACGAGGACTGGACAGGCGGTGGACACTCTAAGGGAGGAGGAAGACCAAGAACCTGCTGAAGGAGCGGAACGAAGTACGGTCGAGGCCGCGCGGCGACTCAAGACACAGCAGGGACAGCACCAGCGCCAACACCAACGCCAGCTGCAGGACCTCCAGCAGGACCAGCAGCACCCGCAGCAGGACCAGAGCCAGCAGCACCTCCAGCAGCACCAGCAGCACCCCCAGCAGAACCGTCTCCAGGACTGACAGCAGTAGCCTCAGCGCCAACACCCTCATTAACTCCAGCTCCAGGCGAACCTGCAGGTCCAGCAGCTCCAGTACTCGCGGCACGAGCACCTCCCGGACCGGCGGCACAAGCACCCTCAGCAGCCGAAGAAGCTCCAGCAGTACGCCTCCAGCGTCGGGCAAACCACTCACGCAGCTCCTGTGGAGAGAGTGGCTCCCGCCGAGACGAAGCACTCGGAGAACCTCCAGGCCCAGCACCGCCAGACGCCACACGAGCAGGCCCAGCGGCCTCCGGCTCCACACCCCCAGGCTCAGCAGCTCCAGACGTGGCAACCCACGCTCAGCACCTCCAGACGTAGGACCTCCAGGCTCAGCACCCCCAGGCGTAGCACCCCTAGGCTCAGCACCCCCAGGCGTAGCACCCCCAGGCTCAGCACTCCCAGGCGTAGCACCCCCAAGCTCAGCACCCCCAGCAGTACCACCCGAAGGCCCAGCACCCCCAGGCATAGTACCCACCCGCGCAGCACCCCCAGAGTCAGCACCCCCAGGCTCAGCACCCACAGCAGCACCAGAGTCACCAGTAACCTCGACCGGCTCGACCGCCTCTACCTGGGACACACCTGAAGGGGCAAGACCCTGAGGGGGGAGGGGGTCTACCGGGGGGGGACCTGGCACAAGGAAGAGCGGTGGCGGGGGGAGGGATCGAGTGCGGTAGGGGAAGAGGCGGTATTAGGGGACCGACTCGTCAAACGTGACGTCCTGAGTGGACAAAACACGACGAGAGGTGGGGTGGTAGAACTGCCACCTTGGCGCGTCAGGGGGGAAGCCAAGGAAGACACAAGGAGCAGCACGAGGGGACAGCTTGTCCGCAGACAAGTCACGGACAAACGCCCGAAATCCCCAGACACGGAACGCAGACGCATCGCCTACCTTCCCCGTCCACAGCAAAGCTGGGGAGGTCTCCGGCCTGGAGTCCCTGGGGTGAAGGTTGATCTGATGCGCCGCGTACCGAACCGCAAACGGCCACAGAAAATGGGGGGCAGCCGCATGCATCATGGACGTACAAGCGACGTCCATGACCATGCCAATGCGGCGCTCAGCAATCCCATTTTGCTGTGGAGAGTCCAGAAGCGTAAAGGTCTGGCGGATGCCTCGCGCACGGCAGTAGGCTCGCAGAAGGACAGAGGAGAACTCTCCGCCTCTGTCAGAGTGCAGACGCAGAACAGGAAAGTCCGAGCCGAAGCTCCTCCTGAGCTGGAGACGAGCTGCGCGGATCCAGTCGATCAACACCTCAGTGACATCGCCCTTGCTGCGCAAGGGGAAGACTGTGGTGTAACGCGAGTAGTCGTCAACCACCAGCAGAAAGTAGCGCTCGTGACCCTGTCCAGGGACGTGGGCCGGGCCCCACACGTCCATGTGAAGCGTCTTCAGCGGGGCCTCTGTCGGGGGAAACGGAGAGGAGTGAGGAGCAGCCCGTAGCCGCCCCTCGACACAGGGGACACAGGAAGGACCAGGCCCCGAAGGAAGGGGAGGGAGGGACCGGGGAAGACCAGAGACAAGGACACGGGAAGCCATGCCTCGGAGACGAGGCAGGGAGGGGTGACCAAGACGGTGGTGCCACAAGAGAGTCTCGTGAGACAGGAGGCGACACGAGCAGGGGGCAGACTCAGGACCAGACCTGGACGCTGCAGCAAACACCTGACCCGACGCAGCTACCTGACCAGACGCAGGGACAGGAGGAGACTCAGTGGTCAGGGTGTAGAGGCTCGACCCCAGCCGACGCGTAAACGTGGCCAGGTGCCGGCCTGTGCGAGCGTCCGAGCAGTGGGTCACCCGCTGACTCGCAGGAGTAAACTGGTGAACCCCCGCATCCTGCAGGTCAGCACCACTCACCAAGTTCATAGAGAACGAGGGGAGGTAAAGACCAGACAAGGTGCCAGAGGGGGCAGCCGGACACGGGAGGACAGTGGAGAAGTGAGAGAGGACAGGACCCCCAGAGGGGTTTGCCAGGGAGACTGCAACCGGCCGACCAAGCGGCGTGAGTGTGGTGCGGTCTCGAAAGAAGGAGCGAGAAGCCCCTGAGTCAAGTGTGAAGGTGAGGGAGGCCGAAGCCGACGCGGTACCTGAGAGCGCAGACTCACCAGTACCTGAGGACGCAGATGCACTGGCACCTAGAGCAACAGCCGCACTAGCACCTAGAGCAGTAGCCTCACCAGCACCTAGAGCAGCAGTCTCAATGCCCGGATCGGGCGGGAAACACCGGTAACAGTCATCCTCGTCACTATAAGTCACAGCATACATGGCAGCAAGAATAGCATCAAAGTCAAGATCAAAGATAGCTACACCTGCCCTAGACAGCTCTCCCCAGCGGGGGATCTCAGCGGCCTCCGGGAACTGGTGACGCCAAGCGTCCGTCAGGCGGCCAAAGCAACGCTAGGTGGAGTGGGCACCCCCACACTGCTCACCCGCGCGGTCGCCGGTGCGAAGGACGTAGGTGCACGGACCAAAACCCCCACCATGCAGACGCGCAGCGTACCACTCACGGAGCTGCTGAGGGGCGGGGATGTCCCGAGAACGCTGCTGCTGCTGCTGCTGGCGCTGACCACCACCGGAGCCGCTCCGCTGCGAAGCGCCACCCCGACCAGCTCCACCTCCTCCACCACCGCCTCCTCCACCTCCGCCACCACCGCCGCCTCTGCTCCCACCGCTACCGCCTCCGCCGCCTCCGCCTCCACTGCTGCCACCGACACCTCCACCCCCGCCACCACTCCCACCGCCACCCCCACTCCCTCCGCCGCCTCCCCCGCCACCTCCACCACCCCCGCTAGCTCCACCCGCGCCCTTGCCCCCTTTGCCCTCGCCAGATCGGCGTCTCCCGCTAGGGGCAGACGCCGCACCGACCGACTCAAGACCAACAAGGTCGGCCGCAGCAGCAGAGGCGATAGAGGGCAAAAGGGGGGGAGGGGAACACCCCTCAAAGATGGGGGTGCGAGGGTCACCACGAGAGGCTCCTACAGCGACTATGCTCTTCTCCACTGCTAGGAGGGCCTTCTCTAGGAGGACAACAGTGAGAGTGGTGGGACAGACCGAGAGGAAGTGGTCCCTGACTACACGAAGGGATTCAGGGAGGCGGGTGACTGAATATTAGAGAGTGATGTACATGGGGGGGGGGGGGTTCTTGGCGCAGAACTCAGCAGGAAGCGCAGCACGGTAGCGAGTGTCACTAGTGCAGAGGTGCGTAATGAGGTCAGCGACTGTGGGAAAGGCAGCAAGATCAGGGAAGAGGTACGGCAGCATGAGGCGGCTCAGTGCAGCAGTGGCAGGGGAAGAGTAGCGCGCAACTACGGCGTCGTACAAGGTCTGAGCACTCTTGTACTGACTAAAGTGTGCGCGCTCAGTGGTAGGCAGGTGGCGACGCACAGCAAGACGTGCAGCAGCATCGCGAGTGGCCCACTGGGAGCGAACAGTGGCGTCGGCATCGGCAGCAGGGGCAGGGGAGGCACCAGAGGTGAGGTCAAAGAAGGAGAGACCGTCTGCCCTATCGCACTGTAGGAAAAGCTGCAGGTCATCTACCCAGACCTCAAAGTCAATGGCCCGACCCTCACCGTCAAAAGCGAGAACACTGGGGGTGGCCATGATAGCAGTAGGCTAGTAGTGCTAACTGTAGGACAGGGGCAGTGCAGTGTCAGAAGCGCTGCTCTCACCGGACAGGGCGGTTCGGGCAGCTCGGCAGCACAGCAGCACGTCAACACGGCGGCTCGGGCGACTCGGGCGGCTCAGCAGCAACTGCGGCTCGGCGGCACCAGCGGCTCGGCTCCTCTGCGGCTCAGGCGGCTCGGGCGGCTCGGGCGGCTCGGGCGGCTCGGGCGGCTCGGGCGGTTCGGGCGGCTCGGGCGGCTCGGGCGGAACGGACGGCTCGGGCGGCTTGGGCGGCTCGGGCGGCTCGGTAGGGCGGCGGGGCCGCAGCGAAGGGCGGCGGGGCCGCAGCGAAGGGCGGCGGGGCCGCAACGAATGGCGGCGGGGCCGCAAGGTAGGCGCCGGGGCCGCAGCGAGAGGGGCGGCGGGGCCGTAGCGAAGGGCGGCGGAGCCGTAAGGTAGGCGGCGGGGCCGCAGCGAGAGGGGCAGCGGGGCCGTAGCGAAGGGCGGCGGGGCCATAGCGAAGGGCGGCGAGGCCGCAAAGAAGGGCGGCGGGGCCGCAGCGAAGGGCGGCGGGGCCGCAGCGAAGGGCGGTGGGGCCGGGACAGGGCGGCGCCGGGGCCGTAGGGCGAGGCGACGGGGCCGTAGGGCTAGGCGACGGGGCCGCTAGGACGATGGGGCCGCCAGGGCGACGGGGCCGCTAGGGCAACGGGGCCGCTAGGGCGGCGCGACGCAGTGACAGAGAGGAGCGCGACTCGGGCTGAGCGCGCTACGGGCAGGAAAAAAAAAATCGATGTGGTGGACCCTAGGCACAGTTCCCACTAGGGAACCTGCTCGATACCATGAGAAAACTGAAACGAGAATGATTGACTAAGGAACCAAAGTGATACAAATATGCAACCCTAGAAATGTGTACCCCATATAGGCTACCCCACTATAGCCTACACTACATTATAATTTGTCAGCCTTTCCCACAGTCGCTGACCTCATTACGCACCTCCGCACTAGTGACACTCGCTACCGCGCTGCGCTTCCTGCTGAGTTCTGCGCCAAGAACCCCCCCCCCCCCCCCCCCCCCGATGTACATCACCCTCTACTACATAGTCACCCGGCTCTTTGACTCTCTTCGCTTAGTCAGGGACCACTTCCTCTCAGTTTGCCCCACCACTCTCACCGTTGACCTCCTCGAGGAGTGCCTCCTAGCAGCAGAGAAGAGCATAGTAGCTGTAGGAGCCTCTCGTGGTAACCCTCGCACCCCCGTCTTTGAGGGGTGTTCCCCCTCCCCCCTCTTGCCCTCTGTTGCTTCTGCTATTGCTGCTAACCTCGTTGGTTCTACGGGGTCGGCGCTGCGTCAGCCCCTAGCGGGAGATGCCGCACCGGCAAGGGCAAGGGGGGCAAGGGAACTGGAGGGGCTAGCGGGGGCGGTGGAGGTGGTGGTGGAGGCAGTGGAGGGAGTGGGGGTGGAGGTGGGAGTGGTGGCGGGGGGTGGCGGCGGCGGTGGCAGCAGTGGAGGCGGAGCAGGCGGTGGTGGTGGCGGAGGGAGCGGAGGCGGCGGAGGTGGCGGAGGAGGCGGAGGTGGCGGAGGCGGCGGAGGCGGCACCGGCAGCGGCGGTGGAGCTGGTCGCGACTCTGCGCAGAGGAGTGGGTCCGGTGGTGGTCCGCGCCAGCAGCAGCAGCGCGGTCGTGAGACCGTGTCCCCTCAGCAGCTTCGTGAGTGATACGCTGCGCGTCAGGGTGGTGGGGGTACTGGTCCCTGCACTTACGTCCTCCGTACCGGCGACCAAGCTGGTGAGCAGTGCGGGGGCCCGCACTCCACCCAGCGCTGCTTCGGCCGCCTGACGGATGCGTGGCGTCATCAGTTCCTTGAGGCGTCAGAGATCCCTCGCTGGGGAGATCTGTCTAGGGCGGGGGTTGCCATCTTTGATCTTGACTATGATGCTATCCTTGCTGCCATGTATGCTGTGACTACTAGTGTTGAGGGTGACTGTTACCTGTGTGTACCGCCTGACCCGGGCATTGAGGCTACTGCTCTAGGTGCTGGTGAGGCTGCTGCTCTAGGTGCTAGTGCGTCTGCTGCCCCAGGTGCTAGTGCGTTTTCTGCCCCAGGTGCTGGTGAGTCTGCTCTCTAAGGTACTACGTCGGCTCAGGCCTTACACACCTTCACCCTTGACTCGGGTGCGTCCCGCTCCTTCTTTCGAGACCGCACCACGCTTACGCCGCTTAGTCGGCCGGTTGCAGTCTCCCTGGCGGACCCCTCTGGGGGTCCTGTCCTTGCTAGCGTCTCCACTGTCTTACCGTGCCCGGCAGCCCCCTCTGACACCCTGTCAGGTCTCTACCTCCCCTCGTTCTCTATGAGTGGAGCGGACCTACAGGATAGGGGGGTTGACCAGTTCACTCCTGCGAGTCAGCGGGTGACCCACTGCACGTGTGCTCGGACAGGCCGACACTTGGCCACGTTCACCCGTCGGCCAGGGTCGAGCTTGTACACCCTTACTTCTGAGTCTCCTCCGGCTGCTGAGTCTGGCAAGGTAGCTTCGTCGAGTCAGGTGTTTGCTGCAGCGTCCAGGTCTGATCCTGAGTCTGCTCCCTGCTCGTGTCGTCTACTGTCCCACCAGACTCTCCTATGGCACCACCGCCTTGGTCACCCCTCCCTGCCTCGTCTCCGAGGCATGGCCTCCCGTGTCCTTGTCTCTGGTCTCCCCAGGTCTCTCCCTCCCGTACCTCCAGGGCTTGGCCCTACCTGCGTCCCCTGCGTTGAGGGGCGACAGCGCGCAGCCCCTCACTCCTCCGAGTATTCTCCGACAGACTCTCCACATGGACGTGTGGGGCCCCGCCTGCGTCCGTGGACAAGGTCATGAGCGTTACTTCCTGTTGGTGGTTGACGACTTCTCGCGTTACACCACAGTCTTCCCCTTGCGCAGCAAGGGTGACGTCACTGAGGTGTTGATCGACTGGATCCGCGCAGCTCGTCTCCAGCTCTGGGAGAGTTTCGGCTCGGACTTTCCTGTTCTACGTCTGCCCTCTGACAGAGGCGGGGAGTTTTCCTCTGCCCGTCTGGGAGCCTTCGGTCGTGCATAGGGCATCGGCCAGACCTTCACGCTTCCGGCCTCTCCACAGCAAAATGGGATTGCTGAGCGCCGCATTGGCATGGTCATGGACGTTGCTCGTACGTCCATGATGCATGCGGCTGCCCCCCATTTTCTGTGGCTGTTTACGGTTCAGTACGCAGCGCATCAGCTCAACCTTCAGCCCCGGGTCTCCTTGCCAAAGACCTCCCCCACCTTGCGGTGGACGGGGAAGGTTGGCGATGCGTCTGCGTTTCGGGTCTGGGGATCTCGGGCGTTTGTCCGCGACTTGTCTGCAGACAAGCTGTCCCCCCGTGCTGTTCCTTGCGTCTTCCTTAGCTTCCCCTCTGACGCGCCTGGTTGGCAGTTTTACCACCCCACCTCGCGCCGTGTTCTGTCCTCCCAGGACGTCACCTTTGACGAGTCGGTACCTTACTACCGTCTCTTCCCTTACCGCACTGCGCCCCTTCCCCTGCCCCCGCTCTTCCTTGTGCCAGGTCCTCCTCTGGTAGACCCCCTCCCCCCTCAGGGTCCTGCCCCGCCAGGTGTGTCTCAGGTAGACGCAGTCGAGCGTGTCGAGGTAGCTGTTGACTCTGGTGCTATTAGAGCTGCTGAGCCTGCAGGTGCCGGGTCTGGCGGGGCTGAGTCTGGGGGTGCTGAGCCTGGGGGTGCTGAGTTAGGGACTGCGGAGCCTAGGGATGCGGAGCCTGGGGGCGCTGGGTCTGCTCGTGTGGCCGCCGGCGGTGCTTCGTCGAGGCGGGAGCCACTCTCTCCACAGGAGCTGCGCGAGTGGTTTGCCCGGCGCTGGAGCCGTGCTGCTGGAGCTGGAGGTACTACTGTTGCTGCTGGTCCCGGAGGTGCTCGTACTTGAGGTACTGGAGCTGCTGGGACAGGGGGTGCTGCTGGGGCTGCTAGAGTTGGTCTTGCTGGAGCTACTGGCGGTACTGGAGCTGCCGGTCCTGCTGGAGTTGGTGCTGCTGGAGCTGCTGGAGCTGGAGCTGCTGGGGGTGTTGGCACTAGTGTTTCTGCTGGCGCTGGTGCGTCTGAGGGTGCTGGAGTTGGCGCTGTTGGAGCTGGAGGTGCTGCTGGCGCTGGTGCTGCCGCTGGGGGTACAGGTGTTGTCCTTGCTGGCTCTGGAGGAGCTGCGCGGCCGAGGCCGTACTTCTTTCCACTCCTTGAGCAGGTTCTTGGTCTCCCGCCCTCTACTGGTCCTGCTCCTCCCTTAGAGTGTCCGCAGCCTGTCCAGTCGCAGTCACAGTTACAAACCGCCTCCCCCCTTCCTGCTCCTTCTCCCTACACTGGTCCTACTGGAGGTCTTGCTGAGCGTCGTGAGCCTGCGTCTCGTCCTGCGTCGCCTCTTTGTGCTGCTCGTACTAGTGGTCGTGCTTCGCGTCCGCGTCCTTTTGCGGTCCCAGGCACAGACCAGATGGCACTGCGTCCTTCCACTGCTCCTCTACGAGTCTCGTTGCCGTCTCCTCCAGAGTCCTCTCTTCCTGTTCTTGCTGACCTGGAGTCTGACTCTCTTCGTGCTGCCAGTCCTACTGTCACGCGTCTCCTGGCCACTGTTGTCACGGACCCTTCCTTTGAGTCCACTGCTGCGTCTGCCCTAGTTGCTGAGCTTGTCGACTTTGCTGCTCGCTGTCGTCAAGACTACACTGCTAGTCTTGTTGCTGAGTCTGAGTCTGTCTGTCCTACGTCTGTCGGGGGTGAGTGTGCTCTTAGCATGGACGTCCTTGAGGACAGGCAGGAGGAGTTCCGATGTTTTGCTGCTGCTTTGCCTCATCTCGTGTCCACGCTGATTGCCCCTGAGGGAGACCCGGATGCACCAAACATCCCGACTCCTCGATCGTACGCTGAGGCGATCGAGGGTCCCTACTCCTCACAGTGGCAGTCAGCCATGCACGCAGAGATGGCTTCCTGGAAGTCCACAGGCACCTACGTCGACGAGGTTCTTCCACCTGGGGCGAACATCGTCAGTGGCATGTGGATTTTCAGGGTGAAGCGGCCGCCGGGTTCTCCGCCTGTCTTGAAGGCGCGTTACGTGGCTCGAGGCTTCAGTCAGCGGCAGGGAGTTGACTACTTTCAGACCTTCTCTCCCACCCCGTAGATGACCACTCTTCGGGTGCTGCTGCACATAGCCACTCAGCGCGACTACGAGCTTCACTCTCTTGACTTCAGCACAGCTTTCCTGCAGGGCAGCCTGCATGAGGAGATCTGGCTGCGCCGCCCACCTGGCTTCACTGGGTCGTTTCCTCCTGGTACCCAGTGGAGCCTCCGGCGGCCAGTCTACGGTCTCCGCCAGGCTCCCTGTGAGTGGCACGACACACTGAGGACTACACTTGCGGTTCTTGGGTTTGCTCCTTCTACTGCCGACCCGTCGTTGTTTCTGCGCACCGACACCTCTTTGTCGCCGTTCTACACCCTCGTGCACGTGGACGACTTGGTCTTTGCCACTGCTGACACTACTGGACTCGCCCACGTGAAGTCCGAGCTGCAGAAGATACACACGTGCACAGACCTGGGTGAACTGCGCAGCTACCTTGGCTTGCAGATCACCCGGGACAGAGCACAGCGCACCATTACCCTGACTCAGTCACACATGGTGCAGCAGGTTCTTCAGCGCTTCGACTTCACATACTCCTCGCCTCAGGCCACTCCTCTGTCTACTCGCCACTCGCTCTCAGCTCTGCCTTTGGATGAGTCCGTAGAGTCGAGTGGCCCGTACCCAGAGCTTGTTGGCTGCCTCATGTACCTGATGACCTGCACACGACCTGACCTTGCATACCCTCTTAGCATCTTGGCACGCTATGTTGCTCCTTGCAGACACTGACCAGAGCACATGGCTGCAGCGAAGAGGGTGTTGTGCTACTTGTGCAGTACGTCGGGCATGGGGCTAGTGCTTGGAGGGCGAAGTCAAGTGGTCCTTACAGGTCATGCTGGCGCTTCTTGGGCTGACGACCGGGCTCTGCAGTGGTCGTCACAGGGTTACACCTTCAGCCTTGGCTCTGGCTCTGTTTCGTGGCGGTCTACCCACCCGTCTTCTGTTCTCAGCTCCAGCTATGAGGCTGAGATCTACGCGGAGGCCATGGCTGCACAGGAGCTATGCTGGCTCACCTACCTGCTGACTGACCTAGGAGAGCCGCCTCGTTCTCCTCCAGTTTTGTACGTAGACAACAAGGCCATGCTGGCCTTGTGTCGGGAGCACAGACTGGAGCACAGAACGAAGCACATTGCTCTTCGCTACTTCCTTGCTCGTGAGCTGTAGTAGCGTGGTCAGCTGCGCCCTGCTTACGTGGCCTCTGAGGCCAACACTGCTGATATCTTTACCAAGGCAATTCCGCCTTGTGATCATCAGCGCTTCTGTACGATGTTAGGTCTTGTGCCTACTTGGCCTCACTTGCTCACTTCTTGACCTTGCTTGTACTGTGATCTTTCTATACCTGCACTTGCTTGTTTACCTTTATATATGATCTTGCATGTGAAGTGGCCTTTTGGCCTTGCTCTTGTGCTCGGATTGTGTGGTGACGTTGTGATCCACCCTGAGCTTGCTTTGCTTTGCTTGACTGGTCTTGTGACCTCTTGTTCTCCCCCACTTTGCCTATGGGGGTGTGTCAAACTCATATTATATAGTTTGTGTAGGCTATAGTGGGGTAGACACTATGGGGTACAGTTTCCTAGGGTTTCCTACTTGTACCCAACCTTGTGCTAGTTCATTCATTCCTCATTCTTCACAGAAAGGGGCACGAGGGTCACCACGAGAGGCTCCTACAACGACTATACTCTTTTGAGCTGCAAGGAGGCGCTCCTCGAGGTCAACGATGAGCGTGGTGGGGCAAAGGGAGATGAAGTGGTCCCTGACCGAGCGAAGGGAGTCAGGGAGCCGGGTGACAAGGTAGTAGAGAGTGATGTACATAGGGGGGGGGGGGGGGGGTGTTCGCGGCGCAAAACTCGGCAGGAAGCGCAGCGCGGTAGTGGGTGTCACTAGTTTGGAGGTGCGTAATGAGGTCAGCGACTGTGGCAAAAGCAGCTAGGTCAGGGAACAGGTACGGCAGCATGAGGTGGCTAAGGGCAGCAGTGGCAGGGGAGGAGTAGCGCACAAAAACAGCGCCGTACAGAGTCCTAGCGGTCTTGTACTGGCTAAAGTGCGCGCGCTCAGCAGACGGCAGGTGACTATGAATAGCAAGACGGGCAGCAGCATCGCGCGTGGTCCATTGCGAGCGAACAACACTGTCAGCTTCGGCAGCAGGTGCAGCAGAGGCGCCAGACGTAAGACCAAAAAGCGAGACTCCGTCCTTGCTATCGCACTTCGGAAACAGCTGCAGATCATCGACCCAGACCTCGAAATCAACTGCCCGACCCTCAGCATCGAAGGTAAGTACATTAGAGGTAGCCATGACAGCTGTAGCAGTAGCAGTAGCAGTAGCAGCAGAAGCAGTAGCAAGAGCTGTGAGAATGAGGAATGAATGGAAGGGGGGGGTTTCACTAGCAAGCAGTTGAGTACATATAGCAAACCCTAAATTGGGCTGTACTCACTATTGAGTACCCCACTGCAGGCTAGACAAACATAACATTGTGACGCACCCCCATAGCCAAAGTGGGGTGTAATCAGCACAACAAGCAAGCAAAAAACACAAGATCTTGGTGGATCACAATGTCACCACACAATCTGAGCACAAGTACAAGAAGCAACAGTTTAAAGTTCACAAATATAAGCAAAGCTAGAGGCTATCACCGAGGGCAAGTGTGGAGGAGGAGGGACTATGAGAGGAGAGGAGGTAGTGGGCGGCAGCTAAAGCTGCTGGCACACGGCGCAACTAGAGCAACTGGCACACGGGCAACTGGAGCAACTGGCACACTGGCAACTGGAGCAACTGGCACACGGGCTACTGGAGTAACTGGCTCCGCGGCTAACTCTGAGCTGCAGGAGCAACGGACTCACGGGCGACTGGAGCAACTGGCTCACGGGCGACTGGCGCAACGGGCTCACGGGCGACTGGCGCAATGGTCTCACAGGCGACTGGAGCTGCGGGCTTTACGGCGGCCACCCCCTTTCAACCTCCCCAAACTATCCCACCCCCCTTTCACACACCCCCTGCTGCACCCTAGGTTCACTCACACCCCACCCCCTAGCACCACTCCGTCGACTCCCACACACCCACCCCCCTCAGCGGCAGCTGCAGCAGTGGGAGACAGAGGAGGAGGAGGAGCAGGGGAGACCCCACACCCGCCACCCCCTACTCGCCACCCCCAAACCCTTAACACAGGGCAGGGCGGGATGGCGGGTAGGGAGGTTACGAGGGGGGGGGGGGGGGGGGGGGGGGGGGACGCGCGGCCTCCCAGGGCGCCAAAACAGGCGGCAGAAGGGGCGACGCTCGCCCCCCCCCCCCCTCGGTCGCCCCTCCCGTCGCCTGTCGAGGCGACCTGAGGGGGCCGCGCGGGGGGTGGCGGTGCACGGGTCCCCGGTGCGCCGCGCCAGGCGACGGAGCATGGCCGGGGCGGGGCCGGGGCAGGGTCGGGGCAGGGAAGGGGCAGGGCCGGGGCGAGGCCGTGACGGGGCCGCAAAGGGCGGCAACGGGGCCGCGAGGGGCGGCGACGGGGCCGCGAGGGGCGGCGACAGGGCCGCTAGGGGCGGCGACGGGGCCGCGAAGGGGCCGCGAGGGGCCTGGAAGGGTGGCGACGAGGCCGCTAGAGGCGGCGACGGGGCCGCGGAGGGGCCGCGAGGGGCCTCGAAGGGCGGCGACGGGGCGGCTAGGGGCGGCGACGGGGCCACGAATGGGGCCGTGAGGGGCCTGGAAGGGCGGCGACGGGGCCGCTAGGAGCAGCGACGGGGCCGCTAAGGGTGGCCCGAGGGGCCGTGAGAGGGGCCTCTAGGAGGGCTCGACAAGAGGGCGGCCAACGGGGCGCGCCTCAGGCAGGGCAGAAAAAAAAAAATAGCGAAGTGGTGGGCCCTAGGAAGGAACAGTCCCAGGAGGGAACGAGCTCTATACCATGTGAAGAATGAGGAATGAATGGAAGGGGGGGGAGTTCACTAGCAAGCAGTTGAGTACATATAGCAAACCCTAAATTGGGCTGTACTCACTATTGAGTACCCCACTGCAGGCTAGACAAACATAACATTCTGACAAGAGCAGCGCGACTCGGCAGTTCGGCGCGGCCCAGCAGGGCGGCGCGGCTCGGCAAGGCTGCGCGGCTCGGCAAGGCGGCGCGGGTGCAGCAGTGCGCTTACCAGGGCGATTTTGGGGTAGGGCTGCAGCTGGAAGGGCAAGGCCGTGCCGCGCCGGCACGTCAGGGCTGCGTCAGGCAGGGCCGCGACGAGGCGGCAGTGTAGGGCGGCGACGCGGGCGCAGGGTAGGGCCACAGCGACGGCGGCTGTAGGCAGGGCCGCAACAGCGGCGGTAGGCTGGGTCGCAGCGGCGCCAGGCAGGGCCGCGACGGCAGCACACAGGGCCGCGATAGCAGGGCGACTTCAGGGAGGATCGCGACGGCAGGGGGGCAGGGCCGCGACAGCAGGGCGGTAGGGCCGCTACGGCAGGGCAGGGCCGCGACGGCTTCAGGTAGGGCCGCTACGGCAGGGCAGCAGGGCCGCGATGGCCTGGCGGCAGGGCCGCGATGGCAGGGCGGCAGGGCCGCAACGGCAAGGCGGCACGGCCGCGGCGGTAGGGCGGTAGGGCCGCGACGGCTTCAACAGGGCCGCGGCGGCAGGGGTCGCGACGGCAGGGGCCGCGACGGCAGGGTTGCGATAGCGCAAGGCAGGGCCGCGACGGCAGGATAGGCGCACAGGGCGCAGGTGAGGGAGGCGCGAGGCGCGCGACAGGGGTAGGAGCGCGCTTCGGGTAGGGCAGGAAAAAAAAATAAGTGGTGGGCCCTTAAAAAAAAAAAACGGTCCCACTATGGAACCCGCTCTATACCATGTGAGAATAGTACGAGGAATTAGTGAACTAGGAAGGAGGTGGGTACAAGTATGAAAACCTAAAAGAGTTGTACCCCATATTGTCTACCCCACTACAGCCTACAATATAGTTCTGACACTGGTAACTGTTGTGATTCGCTACGATCACCTGTCGGCGAATCTCCAATTTTAACCCTTCTGTGTACGCCTGGATTTTTTTGCCTTCGGTCAGGTCCGTGATGCGGTTGAACAGTAGCTCCATCTGTTGCGTATACTGTGCTACACTACTGTACTGTTTGTGACGGTGTATCTACTGCCGCGCCATGTAGGTCGTATAAATTGGCTCGAAACGTTCGATGAGGTCTGCCCGAAACTACTGCCACGTTTCCTCCCCGCGGACCACATCAGTGTCGTAAATCCACTCTCATGCCGGTCCGAGTAACAGTGTTGCTGCGAGCCGAATCCGTGCTGCGTCATGTGTCAGGGTCGAACAGCCAATGGCCTCGAAATAAATTTCGAGGGTTGCCACGAATCGTCGAACGTCAGATCCTTTCGCGCTGGGACCGAACACTTCGGGGAGCCTCGGGCGTGCTTCTTCGAGGTTCGGCGACAGTGGTGCCATCGGTCCGTGAAATGTCAGTCTCGCCACTGCTGCTGGTGTTGTTGCTGCTACGTTCACTGCTGCTGCGGTGGCGGCTCCTAGTTGGTGTGTCAGAAGGGCCTCGAGTCGTCGGATCGCCGCCTGCGTCTCCTCCATGTCGGTGTGGAGGCTTGCGATGTCGCTCGTCATCGCTTAGTTGTCGCCTTGGCCCTCCATGCCTGGCATTGCGCGTTCGAAAAAACCGAAACGAGGGGGAGTGAAAAAGACGGAACCGATTTTACGTACCCAAAATCGGTGTTTAACAAGCGTCGCCCCCGCGGTTTTTGAAGACTCGGTTTTAGCGGTCGAAAAAACTTTCGCATGTAAACAGGCTCTGATTACCAAGTGTGAGGATCTAGGATCGAGCTCAAAAAAGAGAGTTTGAATTGAATGAATCACCTGGGTACAACATGAGGCTATATATTGTGAGAATGAACTAGCAGTGAAATGAGTACAAGTAGGAAACCCTAGAATTGTGTACCCCCTATAGGCTAACCCACTGTAGCCTACACAAGCAGAACATATATAATGTTTGACACACCCCCATAGGCAAAGTGGGGGAGAACAAGGGGTCACAAGACCAGTCAAGCAAAGAAAAGTAAGCTCAGGGTGGATCACAAAGTCACCACACAGTCCGAGCACAAGAGCAGGGCCAGAGGCCAGTTCACATGCAGGAGTACAGACATATATATAAAACTAGACAAGCAAGAGCAGGTATATATATATGTCACAGTACAAGTGAAGTCAAGAGGAGAGCAAGTGAGGCAAGACACGCACAAGACCCAGCTGGGTGCAAAAGCGCTGATGGTCACAAGGCGCGAGTGCCTTGGTGAACACATCAGCAGTGTTGGCCTCAGAGGCCACGTACGCAAGTCGCAACTGACCACGCTGCTGCAGCTCACGAGCAAGGAAGTAGCGGAGAGCAATGTGCTTCGTTCTGTGCTCCAAGCGCTGCTCTCGACACAAGGCCAGCATGGCCTTGTTGTCTACGTACAGCACTGGAGGAGAACAAGGTGGCTCTCCAAGGTCAGTCAGCAGGTAGGTGAGCCAGCGAAGCTCCTGTGCAGCCATGGCCCCGGCGTAGATCTCAGCCTCACAACTGGAGCCGAGAACCGAAGACGAGCGAGTAGACCGCCACGAGACAGAGCCGGAACCAAGGCTGAAGGTGTAACCCTGTGACGACCGCTGCGTAGCCTGGTCGTCAGCCCAAGAAGCGTCCGCGTGGCCGGTAAGGACTACTGGACTCCGCCCTCCAAGCACGAGCCCCATGCCCGACGTACTGCACAGGTAGCGCAATACCCTCTTCGCTGCAGCCATGTGCTCTGGTCTGTGTCTCCCAGGAGCAACATAGCGTGCAAGAATGCTCAGAGGGTATGCAAGGTCAGGTCGTGTGCAGGTCATCAGGTACATGAGGCAGCCAACAAGCTCTGCATACGGACCACTCGACTCTACGGACTCATCCGAAGGCAGAGCTGAGAGTGAGTGGCGAGTAGGCAGAGGAGTGGCCTGAGGCGAGGAGTACGTGAAGCCAAAGCGCTGAAGGACCTGCTGCACCATGTGTGACTGAGTCAAGGTAATGGTGCGGCGTGCTCTGTCCCGAGTGATCTGCAAGCCAAGGTAGCTGCGCAGTTCACCCAGGTCTATGCACGTGTGTCTCTTCAGCAGTTCGGACTTCACGTAGGCGAGTCCAGCAGTGTCCGCTGTGGCAAAGACCAAGTCGTCGACGTACACGAGGATGTAGAACGGCGGCAGTGAAGTGTCGGTGCGCAGAAACAGCGACGGGTCAACAGTAGAAGGAGCAAACCCAAGAGCCGCAAGCGTAGTCCTCAGTGTGTCGTGCCACTCACGCGGTGCCTGGCGGAGACCGTAGACTGGCCGTCGGAGGCTCCACTGGGTGCCAGGAGGGAAAGTCCCAGTGAAGCCAGGTGGACGGCGCAGCCAGATCTCCTCGTGCAGGCTACCCTGCAGGAACGCAGTGCTGAAGTCGAGAGAGTGAAGCTCGTAGTCGCGCTGAGCGGCTATGTGCAGCAGCACCCGAAGAGTGGTCATCTTCGGGGTGGGAGAGAAGGTCTGAAAGTAGTCAACTCCCTGCCGCTGACTGAAGCCACGAGCAACGTACCGTGCCTTGAAGACAGGTGGAGAGCCCGGCGGCCGCTTCACCCTGAAGATCCACATGCCACTGACGATGTTCGCCCCAGGAGGGGGAACCGCGTCAACGTAGGTGCCTGTGGACTTCCAGGAAGCCATCTCTGCATCCATAGCTGCCTGCCACTGAGAGGAGTAGGGACCCTCTACGGCCTCCGCGTAAGAACGCGGAGTCAGGATGTCTAGTGCATCCGGGTCTCCCTCAGGGGCAAGCAGTACAGACGCGAGATGAGGTGAAGCAGCCGCTAGACACTGTAACTCCTCCTGCCTGTCCTCTAGGACGTCCGTGCCAAGAGCACACTCACCCCCGACGGACGGAGGACAGACAGACGCAGACTCAGCAACAAGACTAGCAGAGCAGTCGAGACGACAGCGAGCAGCAAAGTCAACGAGCTCAGCGACTAGAGCAGACGCAGCAGTGGACTCAAAAGAGGGGTCAGTGACGACAGTAGCAAGCAGACGCGTGACAGTAGGACTGGCAGCACGAAGAGAGTCCGACTCAGGGTCGGCAAGCGCAGGAAGAGAGGACTCAGGAGGAGAAGGCAAAGGGGCACGCAGAGGAGCAGTGGACGGACGCAGAGACATCCGGTGCGTGCCAGGGACAGGAGGAGGACGCTGACGCGAACCGCGACCACTAGCGCGAGCAGCACGAACCGGCGACGCGGGACGAGACGCAGGCTCACGACGCTCAGCAAGACCTCCAGTAGGACCAGTGTAAGGAGAGGGAGCAGGCAGAGGAGAGGAAGGCTCCAACAGTGACTGCGACTGGACTGGCTGTGGACACTCTACCGAAGGAGAAAGACCAAGAACCTGCTGTAGGAGCGGAACGAAGTACGGCCGAGGCCGCGCGGCAGCTCCAGACTCAGCAGGGATAGCACCAGCACCCTCAGCGACAGCACCAGTGCCACCAACACCTCCAGCGGCAGGACCTCCAGCAGCACCAGCAGCAGAACCACCGCCAGGACAGACAGCAGTAGTCTCAGCACCAACACCCTCAGCAGCTCCAGCCCCAGTAGGACCCGCACGCCCAGCAGCTCCGGGACCGGCAGCACCAGCACCCTCGGCGGTCGACGAAGCTCCAGCTCCAGCAGCACTCCTCCAGCGGCGAGCAAACCACTCGCGCAACTCCTGTGGAGAGAGGGGCTCCCGGCGAGACGCAGCAGCAGGAGAAACCCCAGGCTCAGCAGCTCCAGACTCAGCACCCCCAGGCACAGCAGCTCCAGACGTAGCACCCCCAGGCTCAGCAGCTCCAGACTCAGCACCTCCAGGCTCAGCAGCTCCAGACTCAGCACCCCCAGACTCAGTAGCTCCAGCTCCAGTAGGACTCGCAGGCCCAGCAGCTCCGGGACCGGCAGCACCCTCAGCAGGCGAAGAAGCTCCAGCTCCAGCAGCACGCCTCCAGCGGCGAGCAAACCACTCGCGCTGCTCCTGTGGAGAGAGCGGCTCCCGCCCAGCAGTCGCAGGCTCCGCACCTCCAGGCTCAGCACCCCCAGGCTCAGCAGCTCCTGACGTAGCACCCCCCGGCTCAGCACCCCCAGCAGCAGTACCCCCAAGCTCAGCACCCGCAGGCGTAGCACCCCCAGACTCTGCACCCGCAGCAGGACCAGACTCAGCAGCAACCTCGACTGGCTCGACTGTGTCTACCTGGGACACACCTGAAGGGGTAGGAACCTGAGGGGGGAGGGGGTCTACTGGGGGGGGAACTGGCACCAGGAAGTCCGGTGGGGGGGGGAGGGAAGGAGTACGGTAGGGGAAGAGGCGGTAGAAGGGGACTGACTCGTCGAACGTGACGTCCTGGGAGGACAGAACACGACGAGAGGAGGGGTGGTAGAACTGCCACCCTGGAGCATCAGGGGGGAAGCCAAGGAAGACACAGGGAGCAGCACGGGGGGACAGCTTGTCCGCAGACAAGTCGCGGACAAACGCCCGAGATCCCCAGACACGGAACGCAGACGCATCGCCGACCTTCCCCGTCCACAGTAACACTGGGGACATCGCGGGCCGAGAGACCCTTGGGTGAAGGTTGAGCTGATGCGCCGCGTACCGAACCGCAAACGGCCACAGAAAATGGGGGGCAGCCGCATGCATCATGGACGTACGAGCGACATCCATGACCATGCCAATGCGGCGCTCAGCAATCCCATTTTGCTGTGGAGAGTCCGGAAGCGTAAAGGTCTGGCGGATCCCCTGTGCACGACAGTAGTCTCGCAGAAGGCGAGAGGAGAACTCCCCACCTCGGTCAGAGTGCAGACGCAGAACAGGAAAGTCCGAGCCGAAGCTCCTCCTGAGCTGGAGACGAGCCTCGCGGATCTAGTCGATCAGCACCTCAGTGACAGCACCCTTGCTGCGCAAGGGGAAGACTGAGGTGTAACGCGAGTAGTCGTCAACCACCAACAGGAAGTAGCGCTCGTGACCCTGCCCACGGACGGGGGCCGGGCCCCACACGTCCATGTGAAGCGTCTGCAGAGGAGCCTCTGTCGGGGGAAACTGGGAGGAGTGAGGAGCAGCCCTGAGGCGCCCCTCGACACAGGGGACACAGGAAGGTCCTGGTCCCGAAGGAAGGGGAGGGAGAGACTGGGGAAGACCAGAGACAAGGACACGGGAAGCCATGCCCCGAAGACGGGGCAAGGAGGGGTGGCCTAGACGGTGGTGCCACAGAAGAGTCTCGTGAGACAGGAGGCGACACGAACAGGGGGCAGACTCAGGACCAGACCTGGACGCAGCAGCAAACACCTGACCCGACGCTGCTACCTGACCGGACGCGGGGACAGGAGGAGACTCAGTGGTCAGGGTGTAGAGGCTCGACCCCGGCCGACGCGAGAACGTGGCCAGGTGCCGGCCTGTGCGTGCGTCCGTGCAGTGGGTCACCCGCTGACTCGCAGGAGTGAACTGGTGAACCCCCGCATCCTGTAGGTCTGCACCACTCACCAAGTTTGTCGAGAACGAGGGGAGGTACAGGCCAGACAGGGTGCCCGAGGGGGCAGCCGGACACGGGAGGACAGTGGAGAAGTGAGCAAGGACAGGACCCCCAGAGGGGTCAGCCAGGGAGACAGCAACCGGCCGACCAAGTGGCGTGAGTGTGGTGCGGTCCCGAAAGAAGGAGCGAGAAGCCCCAGAGTCAAGTGTAAAGGTGAGGGAGGCCGAAGCCAACGCGGTACCTGAGAGCGCAGCCTCACCCGCACCTGAGGAAGCAGACTCACTAGCACCTAGAGCAGCAGCCGCACCTCTACCTGGAGCAGGAGACTCACTAGCACCCAGAGCAGCAGCCTCACCAGTAGCTAGAGCAGCAGGTCCTATACCTGGGTCACGCGGGACGCACAGGTGACCGGCACGGTCAGCACTAGTAGGCAATGCATACATGGCAGTGAGAATAGCATCATAGTCAAGAGCATATATATCTACCCTCTGCCTAAGCAACTCCACCCAGTCGGGAAGCTCAGCCTCGTCGCCAAACACGGTACGCCAGGCGTCGCTCAGACGGGCGAAGCAGCGGGACGGTGTATGACTACGTGTCCCACAAGGCTGACCAGTCCGAGTACCAGTGCGAATCACGTAAGAGCAGCGAACAGCACTGAGAGACCCTCCACTCTGAGCGTACCACTCACGAAGCTGGCGAGGCGTGAGAGACACGCGAGAGGGTCGCGGGAGCTGCTTCCGGCCGCCACCACGAGTAGAAGCAGCAGGAGTGGAAGTAGGAGTAGCGTCGCCACCCCTACAGCCCCAACCAGCGTACCACTCACGCAGCTGCTGGGGCGTGAGGGACTCACGCAGGCGTCGCTGGGGCTGCACCTGGCTCCGCAAGTAGAAGCAGGAGCAGGACTAGCAGCAGGAAGGCAGGCAGCCAGGCAAGCCAAAAGGCAGGCAGGCAGGCAAGCAGGCGACGCGCAGCGTGCTAGCAGGGCAAGAGCTCACCAGTGGTGGGAAGAGTAGGCTCGGCGACTCAGCGGCTCGGCAGCTCGGCGGCTCGGCGGCTCGGGCGACTCGGGCGGCTCGGCGGCAAGGCGGCTCGGCAGCAACTGCAGCTCAGCAGCTCGGTGACTCGGCGGCTCGGCGGCAGGGCGGCTCGGCAGCAACTGCAGCTCAGCAGCTCAGCGACCTGGCGGCTCGGCGGCAGGGCGGCTCTGCTGCTGGGCGGCTCGGGTGCAGGGCGGCTCGGCGGTGGGGCGGCTCGGCTGCTGCAGGTGAGCGATGAAGGAGGAGGAGAAGAAGGGGAGGCCACACACCTGCCACCCCTCTGCTGGCCTCTCAGGTCGCCTCGACAGGCGACGGGAAAAGGGGGGGTGGGTGGTGGGGGCCGGTAGGTGCAGCGGCGGGGCCAGCAGGTGCAGTTGCGGGGCCGGTAGAAGGGGACGGCAGGAGCCGTCAGGAGGGGACGGCGGGGCTGTCAGGAAGGGACGGCGGGGCCGTCACGAAGGGACGGCGGGGCCGTCAGGAGGCGACCGGGCCGCGACGGGGGCAGGCGGCGGGGCCGCGTAAGGGCCTGGGCGGGGCCGCGACAGAGCCGTCGGCGGGGCCGCGTGAAAGCCGGGGCGGGGCCGCGTAGAAGCCGGGGCGGGGCCGCGCGAGAGCAGGCGGCGGGGCCGCGAAAGAGCCGGGGCGGGGCCGCGTGAGAGCAGGCGGCGGGGCCGCGTAAGGGCCTGGGCGGGGCCGCGACAAAGCCGTCGGCGGGGCCGCGTGAAAGCCGGGGCGGGGCCGCGTAGAAGCCGGGGCGGGGCCGCGCGAGAGCAGGCGGCGGGGCCGCGAAGGAGCCGGGGCGGGGCCGCGTGAGAGCAGGCGGCGGGGCCGCGTAAAGGCCGGGGCGGGGCCGCGACAGAGCCTGCTGCGGGGCCGCGTGAGAGCCGGCGACGGGGCCGCGTAAGGGCCGGCGGCGGGGCCCCGTCAGAGAGGGCGGCGGGGCCGCGTCAGTGAACGCGGCGGGGCCGCAGGGAAAATGACGACCCGAGGGGTCGCTAAAAAAAATCGCGCCTCGGGGGGCGCTTCGGTGGGCCCAAAAAAACGGTCCGTAGAAGGACCCGCTCTATACCATGTGAGAATAAGCGAACAGGAATGAATGAACTAGCAGTGAAATGAGTACAAGTAGGAAACCCTAGAATTGTGTACCCCCTATAAGCTAACCCACTGTAGCCTACACAAGCAGAACATATATAATGTTTGACATATATAGGCTCGACACAAGGCCGAGTAACCAGGTGTTACGCGAAGGTTCTAAGAGTCGCGAAGTGTCCCGAACAGAGCCTTCCCGAATTCGGTAGAAGGCAATTCGGTGACAACCGAAAAGCCAGAATTCGGTGCACGCAACCTACCTCGGTGCTATAAGTATAATAACATATAGGAAAGCACCTAGCCAAGGAAATCAAGCGATTCATGCATGCATATAATTATCCTATGCTAGAAATAGCATAATAAAGTAAAGGCAAGCAAGCATAGCTGGCATAAGCTGTCGTACTCTCACAGTTCATCGTATGCGCGCGGAAACCAGCAGCAACCTACCTTTGCCCCGTACGAACCTCAACGTGCCTCACCAACAGCCTTCACCTAGACAAGGGAAGACACTGGACGCGCTTCAGGTTCAATCACAGTTCACCCATGTTTTGAAACTGCAGACATTGACACCCTTTGACGGAAAAGGACTTCTATACCTGGTCACTCGAGTTTGAGCTGATGATGGAAGGCGCGCAGATTCTCGGATTCTTCGACGGATCCCTGCCATACCCAACACACGGAACGCAGTACGACAAGAAACAGTATACGTATCAGTTGTCACAACATTATAGCTCATGCATATTGTGTAGGCTATAGTGGGGTAGCCCATAAGGGGTACAACCCAATTAGGGTTAGTACTTGTACCCAATTCATTCATAGTTCATCCATTCTCGTTTCAATTCTCACATGGTATCAAAGCAGGTTCCCTCGTGGGAACTGTTCCTAGGGCCCACCAATTCGACATTTTTTTCCTGCCCGGAGCGCGCTCAGCCCTAGCCCGAGTCGCGCCCCCCCTTTTTTCTCGCCCCGTCGCAACGCCCTAGCAGCCCTGTCGCCTGCCTTGCGGCCCTCGCGCCACCCTTCCTGGCCCCGACCCGCCGCCCGGCGGCCTCGTCGCCTACCCCGCGGCCATCGCGCTGCCCTTTCCCGTCCCCGATCCGCCGCCCTGCGGCCTCGTCGCCTACCCAACGGCCCTTGCGCCGCCCTGCGGCCCTGACGCCGCCCTTATCGGCCCCGGCGCCTACCTGCGGCCCCGACGCCTACCTATGCGGCCCCGGCGCCTACCTACTGGCCCCGCCACCTACCTGCGGCCCCACCACCTACCAGCGGCCCCGCCACCTACCCGCGGCCCCGCCACCTACCTGTGCGGCCCCGCCACCTACCTGCGGCCCCGCCACCTACCCGCGGCCCCGCCACCTACCTGTGCGGCCCCGCCACCTACCTGCGGCCCCGCCACCTACCAGCGGCCCCGCCACCTACCCGCGGCCCCGCCACTTACCAGTGCGGCCCCGCCACCTACCTGCTGGCCCCGCCACCTACCTGCTGGCCCCGCCACCTACCTGCGGCCCCGCAACCTACCTGCGGCCCCGCCACCTACCTGCGGCCCCGCCACCTAACAGCGGCCCCGCCACCTACCTGCGGCCCCGCCACCTACCTTTGCGGCCCCGCCGCCTCCTCTCAGCGGCCCCGCCGCCTCCTCCCAGCGGCCCCGGACGCCGCCCTCTCAGCGGCCCCGCCGAGCCGCCCAGCAGCCGAGCCGCCCAGCCGCCGAGCCGCCCACCAGCCGAGCCGCCCACCAGCCGAGCCGCCCAGCCGCCGAGCCGTCCAGCAGCCGAGCCGCCAAGCAGCCGAGCAGCCGAGCCGCCGAGCCGCCCAGCAGCCGAGCCGCCGAGCCGCCCAGCAGCCAAGCCGCCGAGCCGCCCAGCAGCCGAGCCGCCGAGCCGCCCAGCTGCCGAGCCGCCGAGTTGCCCTGCAGCCGAGCCGCCCGAGCCGCCTTGTCCGGTAAGAGCAGCGCCTCTTTCACAGCACTGCCCTCACCCTACTGTTTGCGCTGATAGTCTAGTGCTGTCATGGCTACCCCTAGTGTCCTCGCTTTTGACGCTGAGGGTCGGGCCATTGACTTTGACGTCTGGATAGATGACCTGCAGCTTTTCTTACAGTGCGATAGGGCAGACGGCCTCTCCCTCTTTGACCTCACTTCTGGTGCCTCTCCTACCCCCGCTGCTGATGCTGACGCCACTGTTCGCTCACACTGGGCCACGCGCGATGCTGCTGCACGTCTTGCTGTGCGTCGCCACCTGCCTACCTCTGAGCGTGCGCACTTTAGCCAGTACAAGAGTGCTCAGACCTTGTACGACGCTGTAGTTGCACGCTACTCCTCCCCTGCCACTGCTGCACTGAGCCGCCTCATGCTACCGTACGTCTTCCCTGACCTTGCTGCCTTTCCCACAATTGCTGACCTCATTACGCACCTCCGCACTAGTGACACTCGCTACCGCGCTGCGCTTCCTGCTAAGTTCTGCGCCAATTACCCCCCCCCCCCATGTACATCACCCTCTACTACATAGTCACCCGTCTCCCTAACTCCCTTCGCGTAGTCAAGGACCACTTCCTCTCAGTTTGCCCCACCACTCTCACCGTTGACCTCCTCGAGAAGGCCCTCCTAGCAGCAGAAAAGAGCATAGTAGCTGTAGGAGCCTCTCGTCGTGACCCTCGCACCCCCATCTTTGAGGGGTGTTCCCCCTCCCCCCTTTTGCCCTCTGTTGCCTCTGCTGCTGCGGCCGACCTCGTTGGTCTGGAGTCGGTCGGTGCGGCGTCTACCCCTAGTGGGAAGCGTCGCTCTGGCAAGGGCAAGGGGGGCAGGGGCGCAGGAGGAGCTAGCGGGGGCGGTGGAGGCGGCGGTGGAGGCAGTGGAGGGGGTGGGGGTGTTGGTGGGAGTGGTGGCGGGGATGGAGGTGTCGGCGGCGGCAGTAGAGGCGGAGGCGGCGGCGGCGGTGGCGGTGGAGCCGAGGTGGTGGAGGTGGCGGAGGTGGAGGAGGCGGTGGCGGAGGAGGAGGAGGAGGAGGAGGAGGAGGAGGAGGTCGTGGCTCTTTGCAGAGGAGTGGCTCCGGTGGTGGTCAGCGCCAGCAGCAGCAGCGCAGTCGGGAGACCCTGTCCCCTCAGCAACTCCGTGAGTGGTACGCTGCACGCCAGCGGGGTGGGGGTACTGGTCCGTGCACCTACGTCCTGCGCACCGGCGACCGTGCAGGTGAGCAGTGTGGGGGTGCGCACCCCACCCAGCGCTGCTTTGGCCGCCTCACGGACGCTTGGCGTCACCAGTTCCCTGAGGCCACTGAGATCCCTCGCTGGGTCGAGCTGTCTAGGGCAGGGGTAGCTATCTTTGACCTTGACTTTGATGCTATTCTTGCTGCTATGTATACTGTGTCTATTAGTGAGGAGGGTGACTGTTACCGGTGTTTCCCGCCCGACACGGGCATTGAGACTGCTGCTCTAGGTGCTGGTGAGGCTGCTGCTCTTGGTGCTAGCGAGGCTGCTGCTCTAGGTGCTAGTGCGTCTGCTTCCTCCGGTATTGGTGAGTCTGCGCTCTCAGGTACTGCGTCGGCTTCGGCCTTCCACACCTTCACACTTGACTCGGAGGATTCTCGCTCCTTCTTTCAAGACCGCACCACACTCACGCCGCTTGGTCGGCCAGTTGCAGTCTCCCTGGCAGACCCCTCTGGGGGTCCTGTCCTTGCTCACTTCTCCACTGTCCTCCCGTGTCCGGCGGCCCCCTCTTGCACCCTGTCTGGTCTTTACCTCCCCTCTTTCTCTACGAACTTCGTGAGTGGTGCTGACCTACAGGATGCGGGGGTTCACCAGTTCACTCCTGCGAGTCAGCAGGTGACCCACTGCACGGACGCTCGGACAGGCCGACACCTGGCCACGTTTACACGTCGGCCAGGGTCGAGCCTATACACACAGGCATCTCCTCCAGTCCCTGCGTCTGGTCAGGTAGCCGTGTCTGGGGCCCAGCTCGCGTCCGTGGACAGGGTCACGAGCGCTACTTCCTGCTGGTGGTTGACGACTACTCGCGTTACACCACAGTCTTCCCCTTGCGCAGCAAGGGTGATGTCACTGAGGTGTTGATCGACTGGATCCGCGCAGCTCGTCTCCAACTCAGGCGGAGCTTCGGCTCGGACTTTCCTGTTCTGCGTCTGCACTCTGACAGAGGCGGAGAGTTCTCCTCTGGCCTTCTGCGAGCCTACTATCGTGCACGAGGCATCCGCCAGACCTTCACGCTTCAGGACTCTCCACAGCAAAATGGGATTGCTGAGCGCCGCATTGGCATGGCCATGGACGTCGCCCGTACGTCCATGATGCATGCGGCTGCCCCCCATTTTCTGTGGTCGTTTGCGGTTCGGTACGCGGCGCATCAGATCAACCTTCAGCACAGGGTCTCCATGCCGGAGACCTCCCCAGCTTTGCTGTGGACGGGGAAGGTTGGCGATGCGTCTGCGTTCCGTGTCTGGGGATCTCGGGCGTTTGTCCGCGACTTGTCTACGGACAAGCTGTCCCCTCGTGCTGCTCCTTGCATCTTCCTGGGTTTCCCCCCTGACGCGCCAGGGTTGCAGTTCTACCACCCCACCTCTCGCCGTGTTCTGTCCTCCCAGGACGTCACGTTCGACGAGTCGGTCCCCTACTACCGTCTCTTCCCCTACCGCACTCCGTCCCTCCCCCCGCCACCGCTCTTCCTTGTATCAGGTCCCCCCCCGGTAGACCCCCTCCCCCCTCAGAGTCCTGCCCCTTCAGGTGTGTCCCAGGTACACGCTGTTGAGCCTGTCGAGGTCGCTGGTGACTCTGGTGCTGCTGAGGGTGCTGAGCCTGGGGGTGCTGACTCTGGGGGTGCTGAGCGTGTGGGTGCTACGCCTGGGGGTGCTGAGCCTGAGGGTACTACGACTGGGGGTGCTGAGCCTGGGGGTGCTGAGTCTGGGGGTGCTGAGCCTGGGGGTGCTACGCCTGGGGGTGCTGAGCCTGGGGGTGCTGAGCCTAGGGGTGCTACGCCTGGAGGTGCTGAGCCTCGGGGTGCGGAGCCTGAGGGATCTGGGCCTGCTGGTGCTGTGCCTGGCGGTTCTCCGGGTGCTTCTTCTCGCCGGGAGCCACTCTCTCCACAGGAGCTGCGTGAGTGGTTTGCCCGGCGCTGGAGGCGAGCTGCTGGAGCTGGAGGTGCTGTGGGTACTGGAGGTTCTGTTGCCCGTACTCCTTCAGCAGGTTCTTGGTCTCCCGTCTTCAACTTGTCCTCCTCCTCCCTTAGAGTGTCCACAGCCTGTCCCGTCGCAGTTATAGTTACAGTCGGCCTGTTACGTCGACGACTTGGTCTTTGCCACAGGTGACACTGCTGGACTCGCCCACGTGAAGTCCGAGCTGCAGAAGAGACACACGTGCACAGACCTGGGTGAACTGCACAGCTACCTTGGCTTGCAGATCACCCGGGACAGAGCACGCCGCACCATTACCCTGACTCAGTCACACATGGTGCAGCAGGTCCTTCAGCGCTTCGGCTTCACGTACTCCTCGCCTCAGGCCACTCCTCTGCCTACTCGCCACTCGCTCTCAGCTCTGCCTTCGGATGAGTCCGTAGAGTCGAGTGGCCCGTATGCAGAGCTTGTTGGCTGCCTCATGTACCTGATGACCTGCACACGACCTGACCTTGCATACCCTCTTAGCATTCTCGCACGCTATGTTGCTCCTGGGAGACACCGACCAGAGCACATGGCTGCAGCGAAGAGGGTGTTGCGCTACTTGTGCAGTACGTCGGGCATGGGGCTTGTGCTTGGAGGGCAGAGTCCAGTGGTCCTCACTGGGCACGCAGACGCTTCTTGGGCTAACGACCAGGCTACGCAGCGGTCGTCACAGGGTTACACCTTCAGCCTTGGTTCCGGCTCTGTCTCGTGGCGGGCCACCCGCTCGTCTTCTGTTCTCGACAAGGAGGACAAGGAGGACAAGGAGGAGGGAGCTGACCAAGAACCTGCTGAAGGAGCGGAACGAAGTACGACTGTGCAGTGACTCCAGAACCAGGGTCCGCAGCAACAGCAGCAGCTCCAACTCCCAGGTCCTCAGCACCAGCCGTAGCCCCAACGCCCGGGTCCGCAGCACCAGCAGCAGCACCAACGTCCGGGTCCTCAGCACCAGCCGCAGCTCCAATGCGCGGGTCTTCAGCACTAGCAGCAGCACCAGCGTCCGGGTCCTCAGCACCAGCCGCAGCTCCAACGCCCGGGTCCTCAGCACCAGCAGCAGCACCAGCGTCCGGGTCCTCAGCACCAGCCGCAGCTCCAACGCCCGGGTCCTCAGCACCACCCGCAGCTCCAACGCCCGGGTCCTCAGCACCAGCAGCAGCTCCAACGCCCGGGTCCGCAGCACCAGCAGCATCACCAGCAGCAGCGGGGTCCGCGACACGAGGCGCACCACTCCGAAGAGTGCAGCGCCGCTCGTACCACTCACGGATCCGCTCACGGGAGGGGAGCTCCTGACTAGGAGGAGAAGCACTAGCACCAGTCCCTTTAGTACTCCTGGCTCCAGAGGTACCTCTCCTGAGGCTGCAGTACTGTAAGTACCACTCACGCAGCTGCTCCGAGGAGAGGGCTCCTCCAGGTGTAGGACTACGAGGCTCAGCACCACCAGACTCGGAACCCCCAGACTCCGGACTCTGCAGCTCAGCACCCCCAGGCTCAGCACCTACAGGCTCAGCACCCCCAGGCTCAGTACCCCCAAGCTCCGCACCCCCTGGCTCAGCACCCCCAGACTCCGCACCCCCAAGCTCAGCACCCCCAGGCTCCGCACCCCCAGGCTCAGCACCCCCAGGCTCAGTACCCCCAGGCTCCTCACCCGCAGCAGGACGAGAGTCAACAGCTACCTCAACAGGCTCAACTGGGTCTACCTGAGACACACCTGACGGAGCGGCACCCTGAGGGGGGAGGGGGTCTACGACAGCAGCACCTGGCGCGAGGAAGAGAGGCGGGGGGGGGAGCGGGACAGTGCGGTAGGGGAAGAGGCGGTAGTAGGGGACGGACTCGTCAAAAGTGACGTCCTGAGAGGGCAAGACTCAGCGTGAGGTGGCGTGGTAAAACTGCCAACCAGGCGCGTCCGGGACAAAGCCGAGGAAGACGCAGGGAATAGCACGGGAGGAGAGCTTGTCCGCAGACGTATCGCGGACAAAAGCTCGAGATCCCCAGACCCGGAAACGCGAAGCATCGCCAACCTCCCCCGTCCACAGCAGTGTGGGCGAGGTCTCCGGCAAGGAGACACGGGGCCAGAGGTTGAGGTGATGCGCAGCGTACCGGACCGCAAACGGCCACAGAAAGTGGGGGGCAGCCGCATGGATCAAGGAGGTACGGGCGACCTCCATGACCAGGCCAATGCGGCGCTCCGCAACCCCATTCTGCTGTGGTGAGGCCGGAAGCGTGAACGACTGCTCAATGCCGTGCTCAGCATAGTAGGCTGCCAAGAGGTCGGAGGAGAACTCACCACCTCTGTCAGAGTGCAAGCGCAGGACAGGAAAGTCCGAGTGGAAACGCTCGCTGAGCTGGAGACGGGCTTTGCGGATCCAAGGGATCAAGACATCAGGGACCTCACCCTTGGTGCGCAAGGGGAAGACCGTGGTGTAGCGCGAGTAGTCGTCAACAACTATCAGGAAGTACCTCTCCTGACCCTGACCACGGACGCGGGCTGGGCCCCACACGTCCATGTGGAGCGTCTGCAAGGGAGCAGTCGTCGGGGGAAACGAGGAGGAGTGAGGAGCGGCGCGCTGCCGCCCCTCGACACAGGGAAGACAGGGAGAAGCAGGTGAGGGAGGGAGGGGAGGACGGACCCTGGGAAGGCTAGAGACAAGGTACCGGGAGTGCATGGCATGAAGCCGCTGCACAGACGGGTGACCAAGGCGGTGGTGCCAGAGGACAGTCTCGTGTGCCAGAGAGCGGCACGAGCAGGGGGCCGACAGCTGACCTGACGCGGACGCAGACGCAGACGCAGCGACCTGAGGGGACTCAGTGGTCAGTGTGTACAGGTCCGACCCCGGCTGCCGAGTGAAGGTAGCCAAGTGACGGCCCGTACGAGCACACGTGCAGTGTGTCACGCGCTCGTAGGCAGGGGTGAACTGGTGAACACCCCCGTCCTGGAGCGCACATCCTGCCACCAGGTTCGTAGAGAACGAGGGGAGGTGGAGACCTGACAGTGTGCCCGACGGGACCGCAGGACAGGGAAGGTAAGTGGAGGAGGTCGCAATGACCGGACCCCCAGAGGGGTCAGCAAGGGAGACAGCAACTGGCCGAGCAAGCGGCTCAAGGGCAGTGCGGTCACGAAAGAAGCAGCGAGAAGCACCTGAGTCCAGTGTGAAGGTGT